ACCCACTAGCCAGTCCAGTCATTTTTGACTATGATTAAATTGAACAACTGGGATACAGCTCAGTCACACTTACTTTAAGATATTAAGAAAGTTTATGAACTGATTCAACGTCAAACATATCAATTCCTTTAGCCTGTATTAAAGGAAATTCTTACAATCTCATAGAGAAAAAACCTCCAAAGATAAGGAAGCTATTAGTACACTTGCCCTCAATATCAAAGAATTATACAATAAATGCTTTTGTGGAATTTAATGCATTTAAAGTGTTCTGTTGAAAAGGAAAAGTGACTCATTAAATGGCTGTGACAAAGAAAGAGACCTACAACAGCACAGGGCAGCACATGGGAAAGTTTATAAGACAAAGCCCCAGTTCGCACACCTTAAATGCTGAAAGCAGTTCTATAGAAGTAGTAGGTGTGTTGGCTGGAAGGACTTCACAACCCAACTGCCATTAATGCCATGTTTACTCATTTGAAATGCACAGCTAGGAATCTTTTCACCAAAGTTGTAACAGTTAAGGAGAATAGAGGGTTATAAGTTTCCCAGTCATGGAGACAGAAAAGAAACTTGTTTCTATGGTATAACCTAGCTATATTTTGTCCACTATACAAGTGTTAATTTTAAACATCTTTAAAGGGGTTTTAGGAATGTTACAGTTCTATTGTAGTTTTAAAGATTGCAAAAAAAGAGCTTATTTCTTCCAAAAGGAAAATACACATTTCAGAATATTTTATTTTGCATTCAGTGTAATTATAAAGGACATCTGATTTAAAAAAAAAAAAAAAGTGGGGGGGAGGCTAAAACTAGGAAAGAGTATGCTATGATTATCAGGGACTTTATTTCTGTGCCCTTGCTACAATCACAATTTCATGACCTATTTACAGCAGTTCAGTTTTACCCTTTATGCTAACTAACAACTGTACCTAAATCTTTCAGTTGTTTTAAACAACTGAGCTCTATGGTGTACACAAAGATCACCTGGTCCCGTTCAGTCACTCATCAGAAAGTTCATTCTGTCTTTCATAAATCAGTGTAACCATCCTCTTAATACAATGTCCCACTTGTCCCACTTCAGGCACTCTCACAATTCCAGTCTTCCTTCTCCAAGGTACTAAAATAGCCTCCTAACCATAATCCTTTTCTCTCCCATGTTCCCGGTTGCCTTTCTATGGTTTGGTTTGGTTTTTTGGTTGGGCGGCCAGTGAGGGTTGTGGATTTTCTTTCTTTTTTCTTCTTTTGCTTCTCCCATCCCCTCTCTTTCTTTCTTCTTTGACGGTGAGGATCAAACCCAGGACCTCACACACCTGAGCAAGTACTCTACCACTGAGCCACATTCCAAGCCCACCAGTTACTGCCTTTCTAAAAAAAGCACAGATCTCACCAAGTTATACCTCTTCTAGAATCCATTAAGGGCACATCTCTGCATACAGAATAAAACCCCTAAATCATTAGCATGTTAAACCATTCAAAATTATCTGCTGGTCTCAAAATATTCTTCCACTTACTTCCATCTCTTCCAGGTTGATCCTTCTGCCCACGTATTTTCCTCAAAACTAAAATGTTCCTCCTCTTGTTTCAGCTCTACAGATCCTCATAGAGCAACCAAATGCTACCTCTCAGATCTCTTTAGTAGTCCAACTAATTCTTTCTGTTCTCACATTGTTCTATGTATACATACGAAGGTTGCCATTATGTAACAGTTGTCACATCAGTGACACAAGAAGGAAATCAATAAGTTAATGAATGAGATTCAGGTTACCAATAACAAAGCAAGCTATGTAAGGCTGAAACGCTGAAACGTTAGCTCTAGAAAATATGACATGTGAAAGGAAAGCTGTAACCTAAGTACACACACCTCTCTCCAGAGAAATAAATGATGCTTTATCAGAAGGCAGAATCTAAACAGACATAGAAAGGGGAACAGCAGAAGAATCTGTCAGTGGTTCAGTGGTTCTCCCCCAATGGGAAAACATTGTCCACTGTCCTCACCCAGCATATTTTAGTATCCTTACCTTCTTTTTTTTTTCTTCTTTTTTTCTGGGGGAGGGGTCGGGAGGATGGGGGGAGGTGGTCCAACATTGTAAATTGGTGAGAAGAAACCGAAATCTGTGCTTTTAGGCAAAATTCCAAGTTTTTAAACACTGACAATAACTAAAATATAAAAAACACTATACAAGGCAAATTAAACTTGTCAGCTAGTCAGATAAAGCCTTCCAAACCTCCAGGTAATTGCGTCCTTTGGTACAGATAAATATAGCTTCTACAATTTGGTACAATAATTATCAAAAGGCCTGCTCGCCAACTTTTTTAATGTAATTTAGTCCCTGAGTACATTTTCTAGGTGCATCCTGCCTTTCTGGCAATAACTGTAAATATGCAGAAGCATAGACCTGCTCTTTTTATTGTGTGAGCATGGATTAGCTCCATCAAATTCATCAGATCATCTCTGGGTTTAAGCTTTTGAGTGTACGTTTCTGAGAGTCAGACCCCAAAACAACTGTAACTCCCGCCAAACTATAAACCACCCTGAAGGTCTTGTATCATTACTCCTCCTCTGACTTCAACACCACCAACACAGGCTGTCTTTTCAGTAAGTTTTGATCAATGGAATGCAGTAATATTCCATTAATGAGGCAAGTTTGGGGAAAATGACAAAAATGAGTATTTTTAGACAATTCTATACACAAAAAAATGAAACACAATATTTTATAATCAGCTTATAGTATTCAAATGAATTTCATCAATCATTTATCTGGACAGTATACTAAATGAAATCAAGAAGTTAAAGATTTTCACTGGGTGCCGGCAGCTCACACCTGTAATCCTAGCTACTCAGGAAGCAGAGATCAGGAGGATCACAGTTCGAAGCCAGCCTAGGCAAGTAGTTCATGAGACCCCCCCCATCTCAAAACTAACCAACACAAAAACAGGTTGGTGGAGTGTCTCAAGTGCTAACAGCACCTGCCTAGCAAGTGTGAGGCCCAGAGTTCAAACCCCAAGACAGCAACCCCCCCACATTAAAAAAAAAAAAAAAAAAAAAAAAAGGCAACACAGGAATATTGTTCAGTGTTAAAAAGGAATGAACTTCTGGGCACTGCCTAACAAGTGGAAAGCCCTGAGTTCAAACCCCTGTACTACCACAAAAAGAAAAAGTTAGAGTTTTGATCTACATCATAGAGTTGCAAAGCAGGAATCTGAATGTAATTTAGCTGACTTCCCAAACTGAGTACTTTTAATATGCAATATTTTCCTGAATGTTTGCATTATATCTAGATAGGAAAGTAGAGGTAAAAATGCTTGCATTTTTTTTTCTGCTTTTGATTTTAATTTTCTTTTTTTAATATATTATTGTGCTGGAGGTACATTGTGACAGTTACAAAAGCTTTTACCATATGTCAAACATATCATAGTTCAATTCAACCCCTCCATCATTACCCTTTATCCTCCTCTCCTCCCATGCCTGCAATAGTTTCAACAGGTGTCATTTTCCATGTACATACAGGTGTACAGTGTTTGCACTATATTCACCCTCCTACACTCTTTTCCCCACATCCTCCCCCCTTCCACTGGTAGCAACCTCCCCATTTATTGTTTAAATTAGAAAATTTAGGGAGCCTAATAAAAGAGCCATCTGATTACATGACCATTTGCATTTCTTAAATCTAAGTAGGCAATACTGAAAGGAAAACAATCTGGGTCGTTTAACCAGGTCAAAGAAGTTGCACCCTATTCATTTAAAATACCACCATCTACACTGACTCAAGTTGAGTAACAATAAAGGGAAATGGGATATATAAAAAGTCTCTCAGCATCTGAAGTAGTAATAATACCTATCACTTTAAGGGCGGTATTTATTTATTTATTTAACATGTATTGGGTATTAACATAAGCACTTCATGTGCCATTTCATTTTTAATCTTCACAGTTGCTCTATAAAGTAAGGTTTGGTTTTTTTTGTTTTTTTAAAAAGGGTCTCATGTAGCCAAGCTGGCCTCAAGCTCAAGATCCTCCTGGCTCAGCCTCCTGAGTGCTGGAATTACAGGTGTGCAAAACCATGCTTGGCTTTAAAGTGTTTAAAGTTCTTTAAAAGATGAAAACTACGAGGCCCAGAGAGCATAAGTAAATTGTTCCAAGATTACAAAAAGTAGCCTATACCACTGACCTAGATCTGTGAGTTCAAAACCAGTAATACCTAACTTCTAAGCTAAGTCTTAGGATTACTTCTTATTATTATTTTTCATCTTTAGAATAAGATTCCTTTCTAAAAAAAATTTTTCCCAGCTAATGAAATGAATTAACTCAGTAATGGGGAACAATATCACAACTTGCAATTAAAGAAAGTTTTTCAGCCAGGTGCCTATAATCCTAGCTACTCAAGAGGCAGAGATCAGGAGGATCATAGTTTGAAGCCAGCCCAGGCAAATAGTTCTAAGACCCTGTCTTGAAAAGACCCTTCACAAAAAAGGGCGGGTGGAGTGGTTCAAGGTATAGGCCCTGAGTTCAAGCCCTGGTACCACAAATGAAAGTTTATCTACTTGCATTTATAAATTTGGCTATCATGCAATGATGTTCAAATATAGTCATTGATAATAAATGTGTCAAAAATATATTTCACCAATACATATTCAACCCAACAGCTTTCGTAAGTATTCAATCAAAATAGCAAGTTGGTATTACTACACACCTAAAAAAATTAAAAACTTCACAGATACTTTCAGTATTACAAAAGATCTGTCTCACTGCTTTCTTTTCAACAATTTAATTTTAATGCTGAACATCTAGAGGATGAAACAGCATTTGCAAATCATCCCTTAGCTTCAGATTCATTCAATGGCCACATACTAATCAAAGCTTCTTTACTCATTACACATGTAATTCAAGACTACTTTCTTTAAAGTAAAATCTAAAGATTACTATGCTAAAACCAAAATCATCACCACTGATCATTGAAAATTTGAGAATACATTTGCCAGCTCATGTACCACAGCAAAAGAACCTACCTGTCACTGCTGGTACTACTGCTGCTGCTGATTGAATCACTACTGGAGGATCTACTCCTAGAGCCGCTGCCGCTAGGGGACCTGGTGGGTCTAGACGCTTGGCTGGCCAGTCTCTGGGGAGACTGAGTTCTAGACTGGGATGAATGTGGTGAGCGACTCCTGCTGTGCTGGTAATTCCGCTCTGGCCTTCTGCCTCGTACCTCCCGGGTTATATCATCCCTGTAGATATCCCTGTGTACCACACTGGGCAGTGTAAACTGCTCCCGAGCCCTAGGTTCGTATCGGGGGTCATGAGCATCAAAGCGGTTTGGACTTCGACTCCGAGAAGTATAATAGAGCCCATGTTGTAAAGTCCGCTCTCGAGGGTCTCTATAGTAATCCTGATCGTAATGTCTTGTCCGATCAAACGCTCCCGTCCCCCGTTCATGGTGTCCATAGGCACTATGTTCATAAGCACGCTCCCTGTTATCTGAAGCCCTGCATTTAGGAGGGGGAAAAATATTTAGTCAGAAAGGAGCACACAAAACTTACAGCAAATCATGCAAACATTCATTTCAGAACTGTCTGTCTTTAGGTCATTTTCTAAACAGCATTAACCTTAACAAGCAAACATTAACAAGCTGAACATTTTGCTTGACTCTAAAAATTAATTTTCACAGCTGAGCAATCATTGATTTACTTGTACGTTGGGCTTTCATGAGTAGTGCTCTGCAGGTGAGTTACTCGTGTTATTAGACTTATGGCTTGTATACAGAAATACATATGTACCATTTTTTTGTTTTCTTTTTGAGACAGAGTCTCACTACGTAGCCCAGCTTCCTGAATGCTAGAAACAGATATGCACCACCATGCTGGCTATACCATCATTTTAATATGAAAGTATTTTACACTTTCATCTGAATAAATATATACTAAGCTTTTGTTTCCTTGCAAATTCATTTTAGGCCGCATTTGCACACTACATTTAGACATAGACATGAAAGCCCTATTGCAATGTACATTGTGCAACAGGAAGGACTGGCAAAGAAATTCAGAGAAAAATCTGTCAGTGTAACTTTTCCTCCTTAACTTTTTTGTTTTGTTTTGAGACAGGGTCTCACTATGTAGCCCAAGCTGGCCTCAACTTGGACATTCTCCTGCCTTAGCCACCCAAGTAGCTGGGATTACAGGAACAAACTATCATGCCTGGCCTTCATTAACTTTTTTTGTTGTTTTTAAATAAGTTGATGCCTTTATTTACTCATTTGTTTTTGTGGTACTAGGGTTTAAACTCAGGGCCTCAGGCGCTCTACCATTTGAGCCACACTTTCAACCTTCTCATTAACTTTTAACTGCTTGGTTATATAAAAAAAAATTACTAGACTACATAAACGTCCCAAACAAATGCATTTAATAATAAAAATGAAATCTTAAGGTATCAAAATACTAGGTTATCACCTATGCTCATGTAAATTTACCTAAGAATAAAAGTTGCTTTATATCTCCTTGTGCTATTCAAGTCCACATAATTTTTAAATGTCTATTCAGTGATTCAATTTGTTAATATATGCACTTAATGATTACAGGAAATGTGTTCTCTTAACTTCAGCTAAATTCAAATTGCCTGTGATAAAATCAGGCAATGCTGAGAACTATAAGGTACTCTACAGTTACTATTAGCAATGACTCAATTTACAACTTTGTTGTCTGGGGTTTTTTCTGCAATGTTAGGGATTCCGCCCAGGGCTTCACACATGCTAAGTAAGCCCTTCACCACTGAGCCATATGCCCAGTCCCTTTAAGAAATTTTTTAGTAAGTCGTGAATATTCATCAACCTAGGAATACAAAAAAATTATTGCATGTACAATAATACACATGCAATTATGTGTTAATATTAAAAAACTAGTTCTACTCATGTAAGAAATCCTAAATTCTCTATTTTTTGCAACGACTAGAACTCAAGTCCTGTGTCTCTAAAAGACCAGTTCACCTGAGTTTCTCTTCAACCTCATCTTTGGATCAATCTTCTATTGAAAATAATTAAAGAATCATGAAAGATAAAGAATCAGAAGCTCTCCAATGAAAGATGTACAGCAAAATTTTGTAGCAACTAATAATATTTTCCCAATACATTCCTAGATTGCAAATCTCTCTCCTAATACTTTCACCCACCATTTCACTTAGTAGCAATCTCACTTTACTAGGCTATTTGCTTTTTTTGCTGCTATTATGAAAGTAACTGGCCTGGCAAAAGAATTTATTAGTACTTTTCCTTCCCAAATGTATTAAATGACTTTATTCTTTTCATTTGCTACAACTCTGAAATTTGGATACTTCAATGTCTAACAAGGTTTCCTTTGAGACTTAAGAGAGAATTTCACAAATAATTCACTTAGCACCCTATCAAATGTTAATCAGTGAAAGCCATTATTAATGATATAACAGAAGCAACAGGCAAAAGTTCTAGGAGAATTACTGCTACAGCTGATATTTTATAAATACACAAAGTTCTATCCATTAGGAAGATACAGAAGGCAGGCACAAGAGCTAGCAGAGCTGAAATCTAATGGGTATTCTTTGATTTGTCTATTAGTACTAAACACTTCTAGAGTTAGTGGGGAGGGGGGAGAAAGAGTTTGACTTGGGTTAGGAGAGGGGCTAATATACACAGGTCAGGACATACCAACCTTTTCCAACTGTGGAAACACGACCTATAATCCCAATTAAATCTAGGGAGAGAATTGTGAACATAACTTCCCCAATTTTGGCCCCTCTTACAGGGGTAATCCACCTTCTTAATGGGCAAGGGTGTCAAATGATATTTAGATGAACCACAAGAAAAAAAAAATCTTAGTGACCAGACAAGATTATTCCACTGGAAGCAAGTAGTTCCAGACAAACTGTAACTCTCAAACCCCCAGACTTCTTTCTTGAGATAGTAGACAATTATAAATTGATCCACATTCATAAACATCTCCAGCCCTAAGTATGAATCAGGCAGCTGGCAGAAAGAGGAAAGATCCTCTACAATTCCAACAGTGAGGAAGGGACAGTTGCTTGCAAATTGTTCACTTTTGTAGCCATCCAGCCCAGTCAATTTTGACTGCGGTATCCACAACTGGTCATACCATGTGTTCAAAGCTAAAGTACCTTTAATTGCACAGCAGCTTATTTAAGAAATGAGATAGTAATCCTCTTCCTCTGGGCTAATGGGAGTCTTGAGAGCACGACACACCATATATTCCAGCATTTAGAAAAGAATGGCTATATTCCAGCATTTATGAATGTCCGTCTCAATTTCCCCCAATTCCATCAAGGAGTATAATTCCAACACAGAAACTGTGTAGATCCAAAGTGGAAAAATCAAGCATTGCTTCGTTCTTCCTCATCCAAGCACACACATTTCCATGTTAAGGTATTGTTTGTAGAATCCAAATGGTTGAATCATTACGGTTTGCCAGATTTTTTGTGACAATCCAATTTGTTTGCAGACTTTATGTAGTGAAAACTGAGAAGGTGGTATTGACTTCTCAAAGAATCTGTGGGCTCTGATATTCCAGAATATTCCAGATAATACAACCACAAAACTTGTAGCCAAATAGCTCCATCAGGAAGAAGGGATATATCCAAAGAAGGCCTTGATATTATCCAAAAGAAGGAATCATTAATTCTGGAAGACAGGTAACTCCAAAAAGGATGTTTCCATAGGAATTCTTCATCACATTGTATCTCAGAAGTATATCCAATCCACTGAAGGAAATATCCTCTCCGGTTCCATAAGATACCAGCCACTGGGATAGAAATCACTTCCGTTTCCAACCCAAAATAGGAAACATTGAGAATGCCCAAAACTTTAAATCCATCTGGGGCCCCTAAATACGAGTTTCTGTTTCTCACCACATCAAATACAAAATACCTGCCTACAGAAACCTTGGAACTTACCCATCAAGTCTCCGCTCATAACGTCCTTCTCGTGCATGAAGTGATGGTGGGGGGCCATAAGCAGGCCCTCCACCACCTCCTCTGAACCCAGAAACCTCTCTACTACGAGATGCTATGGAAACTGTATCATCCAATCCCCGAGCAGCACTGGGAATGGTGCCTGGCTCATTGTAATCCGTGCGTAGGTCTCTATCTCCCATTTTGTTGACTGAGTTGTGAGCTTTCTGTGCACTTTTAATGTCCACAAAATCCACAAAGGCAGCCACTCCTCCTTCAGATCCCCTCTTGGGGAGAATTTTGACACTTTCCACACGGCCATATCTGGAAAAAATAAAGTCAACATTACTGTTGCATATCAATAATTTTCTGAAATGAGTTTTATAATTTTTTCTTGTTAGACAATTTACATTATGTATGTATGGGAGAGGGGCTACAAAGTGACTTTTTAAATAGCTCTCATTTACACATACACGTTTCTCTCTGGAACAAATACTTGCACCTAATCATTAAAATTACTATTATTTCTTAAAGTCTTTACCAAACTAATCTTAACTATTCTAGAACACTCAGCTGAAGTGAATCTCCCAAAAAGGTTTTAGGAATTTTTACATTCTAAAAAGGTTTTTAAGGGGCTGACGGAGTTGCTCAAGTGGTAGAGTGCCTACCTAGCAAGCAAGAGGCCTTGAGTTCAAACCCCAGTACCACCCTCCCCCACCCTCAAAAAAGGTTACTAAACATAAAATAGAATCAAAGTAATTTAAAATTTTTGGGCTGGGGATATAGTTCAGTGGTAGAATATTTGTCTGGCATGCCCAAGGCCCTTGCTGAAACTCTAGCTGAAAACACACACGCGCACGCGTGCACACACGCAGAGAAAACCTTAAGAGACTTCTACTAAAGTAAAAATTGATAACTATACATAATTACTTCAGTTACTGATTTCTTTTTTTATTTTGGCAGTGCTGGGGTTTTAACTGAGGGCCTCATGCTTGTAGGAGGGCGCTCTATACCTAAGTCACTCCTCCAGTCCTGTTTCGCACTGAGTATTTTCAAGATAGGATCTCACAAACTGCTTGCTCAGGCTGGCCTTGAACCTTGGGATCTCTGCGTAGACAGGATTACAACTGTGAGCCACAGGTGCCCAGCCACTGATTTCATTTTAATTCAATACTATGGGAGGGGGGAGATTGTTTCAAAATATTTACTCCTTAAAGACAAAAATAAATGCAGATATTCTGTGTGCACTTGCAAAGGCAGTATTTTGGGAAAGGCATTAACGGGCCATGGCAAGCACCACAACACTTGAGTCACCCCAGTAGAGTCTAATTTTTTATGTAAATTTTCACTAGTTTTCTTTTCCTAAGGTGTTACAGACACAACTGTTCATATTTGCAATTTAAATATAACTAAAACTTTTCCAAATGAATTAACAATTCTTAAGAAAATTTTCTTAGATCGTATGTATGTTCTAACTTTTATTCAAAAAAATGTACGATGTCTGTAATGAAAAATTTTATGATACATTTTATATTTTATGATACATTTTAGATTTTATTTCTCGCTTATGTGAGAAATAAAAATTGGAATCACTGAGAATCCATGAAAATTCTGTAAATTTCATTAGAAGGGAGTAATTATAGTTTATGTACTTATAATATGGCATTTTAGAAAGGCAGGCACAAGCACTTTTAAATATAGCTCTCTTATTTGCTGACAATCCAGGATTATAATTTTACACTTGCCTTGGAGAAGCAGACATTATCAGAAGGCAGAACTCTTATTCATATCCTCAAGTATGACTGAACTTCCCACCTCTTACAAAGGAAACAATACTAAAATCCAGTTTTATAAGGAAACAATATTAGAAGTGACAAAATTATTTGGCATAAATTGACAAATGAAAGGCTCTTTTGTAACTTAGGACAACTTTTTGATAGAAATTTAAATAGTTCTTTCCATACAAATACATAAAATTATCTTCCAAGCAATGGAATTACAATGAAATCTCTTTGTACAATTAATATACACTAATAAAAAATATATACCTTCCAACGTACTTAATGAAGAACTTGCATCTATAATACAAGAAATCATACAACTTGATTTACTTTTTTTTTTTCCCTGCAGCACCAGAGTTTGAACTCAGGACCTCACGCTTGCTAAGCAGGTACTCTTACCACTTAAATCACTCCATCAGCCCTTTTTTCAATTTGTTTTTTACAAAACAAGGTCCCCCAAACTATCTGCCCAGGGCTGGCTTCTGGGACTGGTTTTAAACCACGATCCTCCTGATCTCTGCCTCGTGAGTAGGTAGGATTACAGGCGTGAGACAATGGCACCCAGCTCAATTTGCTTTTTATTGAATGGGCAAAGTATGTCACCAAAAAAAAAAAGGAAGCTGTCAGCACTCAGGAGGATGGGGTAAGAGGACCTCGAGTTGGAGGTCAGCCTAGGCTAACTAGCGAGACCCTGTCTCAAAAGAAACCAAAAAAAAAAAACCAGAAGGTAGATTGATTGCAGACAAATAAACATATATAAATATTATCAAAATCTTTATATATTAGGGAATTACAAGACAAAACCACTTAAGATTCTACTCTACACCCACTTGGATGGCTAAAAAGGGGCTGTGGGAGAGCGAGAGATACAACTTAGTGGCAGAGCTTTTACCTAGCACACTCAAAGGTCTGGGTTCAATCCTTAGCACCACCAAAAAGAACAAAGTAAACACACAAAGGAAGAAAAAAATAAAAGGAAAACCTAGTTGGGCGCTGGTGGCTCATGCCTGGAAACCTACCTTTTTGGGATGCTAAATCAGGAAAATCAAGGCCAGAAGCCGGCCCAGGGAAATAATTTGTGAGAGGCCCATTTCCAAAATAACCAGAGCAAAATGGACTGAAGGCATAGCTCAAGTGGTAGAGCACCTGTTTTGCAAGTGCAAAGCCCTGAATTCAAACCCCAGTCCCACCAAAAACAAAAGAAAATCCTAAAAACAAAGTGACAACAAAAAACAAAGACTCACAGAAATTTAAATTTCTCATGTATAGCTGGTAAAAATGTAAAATGGTGGAGCCACTGTGGAAAAGATTAGCATTTTCTCAAATAGTTAAACACAGAATAATCATATAACCCAGCAATAATTCCATTGGGACTCACTGCAGCCATTACTGGAGGTAACCAAAAGGGAGAAACAACACAAATGCCCACCACTGGAAAGATGAATGGATAAAACAAATGTAAGTCATAAAAAGAAGTTCTCATACATGTTACAATGTAGATAAACCTTGAAACCTGCTATGTAAAAGCCAGACACAAAAGGACAAGTAGTGTATGATTGTACTTCACAGGGACAAAGTAGAAGAGAAGTTACCCAGAACTCAGGGAAGATGACAATGGGGAATTACTACTCTAGGTAGTTTCTTTATAAGACGAGGAAAAGTTTCTGGAAATAGGGATAAAAGTCATGCAGTATTGTAAATGTATTTAATACCACTAAATAACACACACAAAATTGATTTAAATGATAAATTTTGTCAACCACTCACACCTGTAATCCTAGCTACTCAGGAGGCAAAGATCAGGACGACTGTGTTCAAAGCCAGCCCTTGAGCAAATAGTTTGTGAGAGCCTATCTTGAAAATACCCATCACAAAAAAAGGGCTGATAGAGTGGCTCAAGTGGAAGAGCAACTGCCTAGCAAGTGTGAGGCCCTGAGTTAAAGCCCTAGTGCCAACGAGGAAAAAAAAAAAAGTCACTTAGTCTAAGACAACATAGGGGGAACAAATGAGTAAGCTTAAACCCTGAATAATTAAGAGCTAAATGCAATTAGAAAACTAGCTGGCAGAATGGCTCAAGTGGTAAGAGCACATGCATAACAAGCATTATAGGCCCTGAGTTCAAACCTCAGTCCCACCAAAAATAAATAAATAAAAGAGCTAGGCACTGGTGGCTCACACCTGTAATCTTAGCTACTCAGGAGGCAAGATCAGGAGGATTGGGATTCGAAGCCAGCCACGGCAAATAGTTCCAAGACCCTATCTCAAAAAAAAAACCTAATAAAAAAGGGCTGGTGGAGTGACTCAAGGTGTAAGCCCTGAATTCAAACCCCAGTACTACCAAAACACAAAACAAAAAGGGAGAGACAAAAACTAAATATTCATGCATCTGTTGGATAACAGGCACACAGCACGAAGCACATCTTCCTCACAAAGGTGGGTTCACTTACGCATCACTTTTACAAAATAAAGAGGTACACTTTAGAAACAAGCTACAAATCTACCTCCAAATTTAATTACACAAAAATATGATTGGGTTTTGTTTTAAACAAGATTCTGGAGTTTGAACTCAGGGCCTTACCACTTGAGCCCCACTCCCAGCCCTTCTACCCTACTTTTCTGTGCTAAGAAGGCTAAGAATTCCAAAATATTAATTAAACCAAAGAGGCTGCTTAAATCTTCCTATCCATGAAAACTCACCCAGTAAATGTGATAACCTGATTTGACTACTCATCCAAAACAACACATTTTCTTTCATACTTAAGTATTTCTCAGCTATTCGAGTTGAAACATTTGCCTGGTTTTTTTGATGGTGGTAGTGGCAACAGCAGTACAAGGGATGGAATCCAGAGCCTCTTGCATGCTAGGCAAATACTCTACCAATCTACTCCCCCTCTCCTCCTTACTTTCAACTAAAATTAGCAAGAATAATTAAACAACAATTAGATACATTTCCTTCTTCCAGCAAACCTACAGAATATTCTGCAGGTAATTAGTACAAAATGTTACTTTCTAAAATTACATGTAACTGGAATAAGTGATAACATGTTAGCTCATTTGTAGTTTTGAAAGAATAAAGAAAACCTAAATTAAAAAAAAAAACAAGAGACTATAAAGCTAAGAACCTGTACTTCATTGCTATAAGCTGCAGTATAAAACAATCTAAGAAGTTTGTCTTGAAAACATTTTCTTAAAGTTACTAAATTAATTACTTTCTAT